ATCCGCCCATCTCGGCCTCCCAAAGTGCTGGGATTACAGGCTTGAGCCACCGCGCCCGGCCATGTGTTCTTGTTTCTTCACATCCTTGCTAGCTCTGGATATAACCTGTGAACCCTTAAAAAAAGGCTTCTCCTGTCCCATTTCAGACCACTTTAATCAGAATCTCCTAGGGTTAAGAACTAGGCATCGGTGTTTATTTATTTATTTAAATTAAATTTTTTGGTAGAGATGGGGGTCTTGCTATGTTGCCCAGGCTGGTCTCGAACTCCTGAGCTCAAGCAATCCACCTGCCTTGGCCTCCCAAAGTGCTGGGATTACAGGCATGAGCTAATGTGCCCAGCCCATTTTTTGTTTTGAGACAGGGTCTTCCTCTCTCACCCAGGCTGGAATGCAGTGGTGGCATCACTTGACCTGGGCTCAAGTGATCCTCCTGCTTCAGTCTGCTGAGTAGCTGAGACTATAGGCATGCACCACCACACCTGGCTGATTTTAACTTTTTTGGCAGAGACAGGCTTTTCCTATGTTGCCCAGGCTGGTCTCGAGCTCCTGGGCTCAAGCAATCCCCCTGCCTCAGCCTCACAAAGTGCTGGGATTATAGGTTATAGGTGTGAGCCACCATGCCAGGCTTGCATCAGTTTTTATTTTTATTTTTTATTTTTGTAGAGACGGAGTCTTGCTCTGTCGCCCAGGCTGCAATGCTGGAGTGCAATGGTGCGATCTTGGCTCACTGAGTTCAAGCAATTCTCCTGCCTCAGCCTCCCAAGTAGCTGGGAGTACAGGCACACACCGCCATGCCCGGCTAATTTCTTTTGTATTTTAGCAGAGACAGGGTTTCCCCATGTTGCCCAGGCTGGTCATGAACTCCTGATCTCAGGCAATCCTCTTGCCTCGGCCTCCCAAAGTGCTAGGATTACAGGTGTGAGCCACCGCGCCCGGCCGCATCAGTGTTTTTTCAAAAGCTCATCAGGGTGAAAAGGCTATGTAGCCCAGTCTTGTGAATCTTCTCATTCACTGATTCAACAAATACTGCACTACCAACCACATAATTAGTACAAAGCCAGGCAACAAATACTTGAATTCTTAATAAAAAAAGAAAATAAAAACATGCTTCAATTTTCCTCCAGAGAATGAGAGGCAGGGGACAATAAAAACCAATCTATATCACCTAACCTACTGGGCACTAACAGGCTGATCTCATTTGCTTTGAGGACAAGGCTGCTTCTCACCCCTTCTGCATCTCTTTTCCTTCTTAATGAGCCCCTAAAGAGATGCAGCAGAATTGGGAGATGGCTCAGGGAAGACAGCAGAGTGGAAAGGTCAAGCTGAAAGGTAAAGGGAGGGGATAGAAGCAGATTACCTGTCAACCATCTTCTTAAGTCCCATGGCCCTTTGAAAACTCTGCAAGAAAACGTAGTTCTGTTGATCTGCCTCAGTCTCCAGAACCTCACCCCTAGAACCCTGTTCTAATGAGAGACATAGACCTTTTTTTTTTTTTTTTTTGAGACAGAGTTTTGCTCTTGTTGCCCAGGCCAGAGTGCAGTGGCGTGATCTCGGCTCACCACAATCTCCGCCTCCCGGGTTCAAGTGATTCTCCTGCCTCAGCCTCT